TAATTAATCAAATAAGATTCCAGGTGTATAGACAGGTTAATCTATATTTAAAGAGTAATGAAAGCAGCATAATTAATCCACTTGATTTTGTGCAAAATGCTGTGTCTCTTATGTTTAGTATTGATCTTTGTCGTATCGTGCAACACCGCAGTACAGCCAAGTAAATACTTTTATGAATTTGTTTTTCAATTTATAACGTATAAATGTTTTCTCATAAAGTTTGCCTTGGATATATTGATGCACTCTGTGTGTGTGTGAAAAGACAAGTGTTTTTCGACATCGCATGTCGGGGTTATGTCTGTTTTGTTCGACGTCATAACATGAGAAAGTTGGTCGTTGCTATATGTGTTACGCATACGAACCACTGCCTTCCTCGACCAGTAGTTTAATAATACGATTGAAAAAGAGTAAAAATTAGTGACATAGAATTACGGCGACAATCGAAGAGACCTTTGACTGTTTAAACTGTCTTTTTACGATCCTCAAGATAGTAAGAATTTGTGGTTGGTGGCTGCCATGGCTGTAAACATTCTTAGTTGCACAAAGGTATTTGGTCTTATTCATCGTGAAGGTTTGAGAACTTCTAAATAACCTTCATGTAAAAAATGTTTCTCTAGTATAATTTTGTTGTTTTTATTTCACCATTTTAGCTGTCCGTAAGTTTTGCTACACACACACATTCTCTCTCTCTCTCTCTATATATATATATATGTATATATATATAGAGTAATCTAATTACTCGTTTGGGAGTTTTTACCTGTCAGTCACTTTCTCGCACTTTTAAGGAGTGATGAAAGCAGGAGAATTAATTCACTTGATTTTATGCAGAATTCTGCATCTGTTATATTTATAATTTATCAGTATCATAACTTGTAACTTCATAGGACGTCAGCGTAAGCACTTTGGGGATTTATTTGTCAATTTATAATTTTCAAGTGTATTTCATGCTTAGTGATGTTTCCTAATAAACTGTACCTTGAATGTATTGAGAGGATAATTTACACAAGCGGGCTGTGAAAAATCACCAGTTTTCAACAATGGGTATCTTGTTTAAAATAGCACAGTCTCCTCAGTATAAGTAAGTCAATTCCTGAAGGACGGATTACCACATGATGAGGGTGAAAGCAACGTAGTTAGCATACGTGTTCCGAATGCGGAGCCACTGCTAACCTCGACCAGGAGTAAAAGAGTTACGTTAAGAGAGAGAGTGAAAAGTAGACATTCAACAAAGGTTTGGCTGTTTATTCGACTCATGTTATGGACTCATGTTATGTAGACTCCTTGGTTAGGATTCTCATAGCCACCTGGCTTCAACGTATTTAATGGCAAAGATGTATTCACTCTTTTGGTGTCGTAGATGCTCTGAAATGTCTCACTAATCTTCGCGGAATTAATTTTTCCATAGTATATTTTTGTCAATCAAAGTTTCACTATATTTTCTGACTCCACTTATGTGTGTGCATCTCGGAGGAGTTGCCGGTCGAAGTAATGCAGTTTTCTGTAAATTTGTACTTTTATAATTTTACTTAGTGAAGTTGGTATATATATATATATATATATATATATATATATAAAGTAAAAAAGATATAAATATGTGTGTTACATTTTATTCAAAATTTCAGATAAACGTAAGTATTGTTAACCTTGGTATTTATGCAATACAGTATGATTAACTAAGCCAGTAGTCAGTAAACCGGGGAGGTTCAGTGTAGTGTGTGAAAAAGGCGTTTTATTTGTAGACAGATGGATTCCGATGCGAAAATTGAAGGATAATGTGGTATTTTACGACAGATCCTACTTTTCAATCCTTCAAGAACCTCACGATCCGAATTGTAAAGAATAGTTGATGAATAGAAGGAAACATTTAAAGCATTGATGAGTGCATTCGGTCTGGCTGGATTCATTGATCTGGATTGTTTATTTACGAGGATTTCCTTATCCTTTTTGAGGACACTTTCAGAGTTAACCTCAAAGTGAAGGGGGCTTTGAGAATTCTCCACTATAACTGATGATTCCCGTAGATGCTTTTATGACTGTATCAACTTGTGAAGAGACCGATTCTGTCGGTAAACTCCTGTTTGACCTTCAATTAATTATACCGGTTTTTAATTATCAATACATTTTATCTGTGTTCTGTTGAGTATCAGTTACAAGTTGGTCTGGGTACTGTCATTCTAGGAATTGTCAGATGTTATTTGTCTTTACTCTGTCTAAGATTTTAACATTATCCCAGTTATACTGATATCTGTCATTGCATGTGTGGACTTGTATAAACAAAAACATGTCATGTATTCTAATAGAGACAGAGGTATTTGATCTTATTCACCTTGAAGGTTTGAGATTTTCTAACTAACCTTCGTATAAACATTTTTTGTTGTATTTACTTCACTATCTTAGCTGTCCGTAAGTTTTGTTAACTTTCTATGTATATAGAAAACAATATGAGTAGTCGGACAAGTAGGTTATGAAATTGGAAGTTCATTATTATGAGTGTAGCCATGTTTTTTTGTAGGCAGTAGTTTACTGTGACGGATTTGAGAACAGATGTTCTGTTTTACAAGTGCTCCTGCTTTCGTGTCCTTTAAAAATCATTTCATAGGAAGGGTGAAGAAAATTTGTTAATTGGTAAATAAAATGTTGATCGTAGATGCAATTTTCTTGAATTTTTGGTGCAAATTTCAATTATGAAGCTTTTGTAATCCTGTTACACAACGTCTTTATAACCACTTCCAACTTGAAGCGAGCTTTGATACGTCAACATTGCATAATACTTCGTAAGATATTAAATCGTGGTTACAGACTTTCATGTCATATGTATATTCTCCTGTCTTTACAATAATACCTTGTGTACCCATCGACAGATAGAACATACACCTTTGACTTTCACCCTAACTTGTTGCTTCAGTCCTTATAGTGCGTAAGTACTCAACTCCTACATTAACACACATTTTGATGAATAAAGTTATACATGGAAATGTTTATTCATAACATTGAGCAGTTATTTTATTGGATTTGAATGTAAGCATGTATTCAAAACTTGAAGACAATTTCATGGAAGACCAATAGCTCATTATAATTGTACACAGTTTGCTCTGGTGTAATCTGAACAGGCAATACTAAGTTGAGAACGGTGTGAATAGCTTTCCCAATTTCAGTACACACAGTAACCAGTTACTAGGTCATTGTTTATTTTGGCTAAAAGCTTAGTATCGTGAGGATAACTTCTTGAATTTCAACAATATCCTCCTGACTGCTCACTCGAAAATAAAGTAACCATGTTCACACAAATTATCCTGAACACTTTATTCAGCTGACAATGACTCTTATTTCGTGATTCATCAATTATCCAGAATTTATAGGAAAATGTCATTCCCCTCAACTTTTAAAATTGATGCAATAGCAACTTGGTTGCGCAAAATGGAAACCACTTTAACAAAGCGATTATGGTTGACGTGAACAGCGATCACAATGTATTCCCTTGCATGCAATTATACAATAGGTTGCAAGGTTGTAAGCATTAAATCGAATCTTTTTTCAGTCAGTCCACACAGAAAACACCGGCAGAAGTAATGGCACTGTACATGTTTGTGTATATATACATATACATATATATGTATCATATTGGAATTCTTATTGGAAATGGTTTGAGAGAGTGAGCATGCATAAATGCAGTAAAGACGTCATGTAAGAGGATTCTGTGCAGTACATGACACTACATGCGTCTTCTAATTATTATTATTGTCACCATTATTATTGTATCCTTTAATTCCTAGAGGAACATAAGGCTTCAGCCGCGTCTCTATTGCCTTCGGTTTTCTACCAACTTTTTCACCTCACTCCAAGTCTGCCCACATGCTTTCATCTGCTCGTCACAAGACCTCCTCCATGTCATCCTCGCACTGACGACCAACTCACCGCTTCCCTTTCGGGTTCCACTCCAGCGATGGCTGGTCCAGTGATGTCACTTGATGGTTTTCTCAGTGTATGGCCAGTCTATCTCCATTTCTTCTCGCCTGTTTGTTGTACAATCATTTCCTGCTTGGTTTACTCCCAGAGATCTCTGTTGCTGATCTTTTCTGGTCATCTGTTCTTGAGTATTGAGCGAAGACAACTGTTATTGATGGTCTGTAGTTTGTTTGAGGTGCTCTTTATGACGCGCTGGTCTGATGCGTATAGTAGCAACGACTTCACATTAGATTTGAAAATCCTGATCCTTTTGGTGCTGAGCGCTGTTGACCTCCACACAGACTTAAGAGTAGTGAAAGCTTGTCTTGCTTTTCCGAATGTGGCTTTGATATCCTCGTCAGTTCCGCCTGTAGTTGAAACGATGCTTCCCAGGTAGGCAGGAAAGTAAAGGAAGTTGTTTCTTTCAGATTCCTCCCATTTGTGCTGTCTGATTGTTGTCTGTTGTTGTTGCTGTTGGCCAGGAATCTTCACCACCTCTGTTTTATCTATGTTCACATGAAGTCCTATCTGTGATGCCTGTTGCTTTTCACTTGCATATCTTCCAGTTTGTGGGAAATCAGACATATATCATCGGCGAAGTCCAGATCCTTAAAGTTTGTCTTTGTATGAGTCCATTTTATTCCTGTTTCCTCATTTTGCGGTTGTCTGTCGCATTATTCAATCTACGTTTACCTACTAACATAACAACACTTGTTTGTATGTTATGATACAACCAAGGGACCTGAGATTGTGTTGCGGTGTAATAACACTCTGACTGACATAAGTTGTGGATTAATTAGTTAATCTGAGTCTAAGTAAGATTTAATTGAGAAGTCTATGTGGAGATGTGTGAATAGTGCTCATGATATAGTCATCATAAATAAATCAATTCATCAAAGAACCAGTGAAGATAATCCCTGTCTATTTATTTGTGTAGCCACACAATCTAATTCATCACAAGTAAAACACTCATATTTTTTATTTATGCTTACAAAATAAGAATCCTAATGTGATATTCAAATTCGAAACACTTTACAAATTCTTATTATCATTTTATGGCACAAGTCCCACCACCAAGAAATCAGGATACTGGTAAGTTTTGTACTTCTGTGGCTGAATATTGAGAGTACCAAATAGATATTATTACTGTTCCTTTTAGTTCCTAGAGGAACATACAGCTTTAGCTGCACGTTTCCATTGCATTGGGTTCTCTGACAATGTTTTCACCTGGCTACACGTCTCCCCACATGCTTTCAACTTGTCTTCTTATGACCTTTTGCATGTCACCGTCGCATTGACGACCAACCTGCTGCTTCCCATTCGGGTTTCACTCTAGCGATAGCCTGTCATGTGATATCACTTGATGGCTTGTTTTCTGAGAGTCTGGAAAATCCACCTCCATTTTGTTCTGCACATTTATAACACAATCGGGTCCTGCTGGGTTGGTTCGTTCATTGCCAGAGATTCCTGTTGCTGATCTTTTCTCGTCCAGCAACTGATGTTGAGCTGTAATGAGCACAGACAGATGTTGATATATTATTATTATTGTATCCTTTAGTTCCTAGAGGAACATAGGGCTTCAGCTGCGCACCTCCATTGCCTTCGGTTTTCTGACAACTTTTTCACCCTGCTCCAGGTCTGTCCACATGCTTTCATCTCCTTCTCGCATGACCTCCTCCAAGTCACCCTTGGACCACCAACTCGCCGCCTCCCTTTTGGGTTCCACTCGAGCAATGGCTTGTCTAGTGATGTCACTTGATGGTTTCCTCAGCGTATGGCCAATCCATCTCCATTTCTTCCTGCCTATTCGTTTCACAATCGGTTCCTGATTGGTGTTGATATAGATGTGTAGTTTGTTCGAAGTGACCTGCGTGACGTGCAGGAAAAATCTATGATCCGCTTAGTAAGTAGCACTGAATTTGCTTTGGAATTGAAAATCCGGATCTTCTTTTCATTTTCGTACTGAGCGCTGTTGATATCCACACACTAGAGAGTAATGACAATTTAGCTTGCTTACCCAATGCTCATTGCCTTGGTATCCTCATCAGTTCCGTGCGCCTGTATTTAAAACGTTGAAACATTGGTTCCTAGATTGGTTAGTAGGTAGGTGGGCAGATAGAGGAAGTTGCTTCTTTCAGACTTCTCCCATTTATGCTGATTGTTGCTGTTGCTATTGGCCGGGAATCTTCATCACCTCTGTTTTCTCTATTTTCACCTGAAGCCTCTTCTATCTTTGATGCCTCTCATACCAACTTGTTGCTTTTCACTTGCATATCTTCCAGTTTTTGTGAAATCAGACAAATATCATCTGCGATATGCAGATCCTCCATGTTTTAGTTTGGTTCCGGCCTGTTGTCCTTCGCATGATCCAGTCAACCGCAACCGGGAGAATCATTGGAGGTAGTAGGCATCCAGTTAGCTAGTGAGCTTAATTCTGTCTGCACTTTTAAGTATTCTGTGATTTTCGCGTTGTGGAATGCTTAGCATGCAGCATTGTCGTATAACTGTTGGATGAGGTGTAAAATTGTTGGCCACAACCCTTGGTAGTGGGGACGTAGTTACCAATTCACCTCTCGATCGACACTGTCTGCTGAAGACCTTTTCAAAGTCGATGAAGTTGAGTGAGGTAGAGAGCTGACTGACATTTCAATTTCTGTACGATGAATCCCCTTGAGGCTGAATAGTAAGAGAAGAAATAAGTAATTACTTAGTAAAACATTGTGAGCACAGGGAACAAGCGGAATGCTGTTCACGAGTTTGTCACAGAGTAGTTCTGAAAGTTAAGTCAATAGATGTGTTCCCTTTATTTAAATCAAATAGGGAAGACCAATGTTTGCGGGTAAAATGCGTACATTTTATTTTGAGGTGACTTCGTGAAAAATTTGAAATGTAAGCAACATGTTAAATATAGCATACGTGATTACGTAATAAGGTGAATAATGTTTGTAAAAAATTATATTTGTAAAATCTCAGCGATATTTAAATGAGTAATTCCAACGTTTCGTTCGGCAATCTGGTCCGAACTTCTTCAGGGAAATTAATCGAAATTAACATAACAGGTTTATATATAAAAGGATTAATTTCCCTGAAGAAGTTCGGACCAGATTGCCGAACGAAACGTTGGAATTACTCACTTCAATATCGCTGAGATTTTACAAATATAATTTTTTACAAATGTCTACTTCTCACTCGGCGCCCAAATATTATAGAACTATTCTGTCAAATCTTGACTACAGTTGATTTCATTGAATAATGTTTATTAGTGTATTGTGAGATTTGTCGACGTACCTTCGCGTTTGCAAGATTAAGGTGTAAGTTACCTGACAGCTGTACATCCGAGAAAGATGAAGTGAAGTTGGATATCCTTGTACTGTATTAATGATAAATACAATCACACTGCTCTCTTATCTGCCTCTTAAAACTAAGATCTTCATCGATACTTACTGATCAGTGAGAGATGACGAACATAGTGTGCTCCCATTTCGTAAATCCTATGTGTACATTTTGTGTTGCGTTTAGCTAAAGGAAGCCTTAGACTGAAATGTGCGCATGATGAATTGTAATTCGTTTTTCCCATTGCTCTCAAGAATTACATAATTTCATGGAATCCGAGAAATAAATATTTACTAATATGGTCACGTAGTTCTTCTTCGAATAATAAACGTGGATTTTCGATAGAGAAAGAAAGCCCAGATTTTCTGTATAAAATGATATCATTCTATTTCACAGGTTCTCATCAGCTGCAAACTAACTGAAAATACATACAAAGGACAGAGAATCTACTACGATTTGCTGAAGCGATTGCAATCAAACGTCACAGACCAAACCTGTGCATACAGGAAGAGAGTGTGGTCAATCTCTCAATCCCTTGGTAACCATATCACTTTCATTACACTGATTAGTTATACACACTAGTGAGCTCAACTCACTAAGCAAGTTTTCAAAATGATGAACTTTGACCTTCTTGAGTTGCCATGTTGACACTGTTTATTAGATTTTTTCTGTTTTCTCACACCCACCCCTTTTTCTTTCCTCATAGTTTGACAGTATATAAATTGATGATGTGTTCACCTTATAATGTTTTCTCTATTACTTTTCAAACAATGAAGTATGAAATATTATTATTTATAACCATTGTATTTTCAGGTAGTTTGCAGCTGATGAGAACCTGTGAAATGGAATGATATCATTTTGTACTGTAAATCTGGTCTTTTGTTCTCTAATGAAATTTATCAAGAGAATCAAATGTATGAAATGTAGATTTTTTCGACAAATTTAGGTCAAAGAAATTTCTCATGTTTACCCATTTATGCTTGTAGCCGAAGCCGTACTGTGTATTATTTTAAACTAACATTCACCGTATCTGACCAAGATGTTTTAATTATCATTTAGAAAAAGGTTCAACAAAGCCGGCTGCAGCTACTAGTGAGTTCGAAGTAGCTATCATGTTTAACCTGTACTTTTTAAATTATTAATGTATTGATTTGTATTGTTATTTTATAACTGAGTGCCTCTTCCGCTCACTTTATATTTCGTATGAATATATGCCCCTCAGCCTAACCTCTAATTGATATATGGTTTTGCATAACCTAAGAAAAAGTGATTCAACAGTACTTATAGCGGTCAGTTCTACACTGGACGTTGAAAGACTTCTCAGACCGATTCCAGTATCATCTACACGGAGAAGCACGAACTAAACTACTTCTAAACTTGAACGTTGTAGTAATCCACCTGGTAAATCATGAATTCCGTAGATTGAGGAATTGTGTTCAGTTAGTTCACCTACAATTAACCTAATTTGTCTCAATATTTGATAGGAAGTATTTCAATTTTCAATTTTTCAATTTAAATATTTATCTCACTGCTTCAAATGAGAATAATCCTATCTAGTCTCTATTATATTTTCGTATGAGCCTTACTCATTTCTGTTAATTATGTTGCATCATTCAATTTATCGACTTAATCAAAGTTAGTTATGTGTTAGTTTGCTGGGAGTGGATTAGATAAAGAATTTTATCATGAACTGAGATCTGCCAGAGAAACATTGGGAAACCCAACGGGCAGTACTGAGCAGCTAGTTGTTTCGTCTTAGTTTGCGACGCATCATCAATACCGGCCCACCAAACTGAGTTCCGAACTCGGGCTCTTCCGGATACAGGGCGAGCTCGTAGGTCACTCATAAGACAATGGGACGTGATGCAGCCGCCAGCTCATGAATTTCAACTTCTACCAATTCACGCACTATGTAGTTTGACCACAAGCCATTGTCCACACACACACAAATAGGGTTTTCTTGATGGCTTAACCGACAGTAAAATCTATAATTTCAATGACACTCCGTTGTTTCAATCAAAATGTTTCATATTTATACATTCAGTTGTATAAGCTGAAGGTGATTTCAATGAGAAAGGGGAACTCCTTGTCGAACACTCCTTCCTTTCATGCATTCACGTAGATTCTTAAGACCTTCCGTGAAATAGTGCAGAACAGTTGAGTGACATTTTTACAAGAGTTTTATATAACACCATTGGATTTCTTCACAATAAGTAATGCCTTCAAAAAGTATTACTCACAGTTGCGTCTTTTTGAAATCTTTCCAACTTATCACGTTGATGTCACCACAAAAACCGAAAACAACCATTATTTTGGTTGGCGCTGATCATCAAAACACAAAACAGTTAGGGATATGACTGTTCTCGATGTGGTTAGCATGAACAGTGGATCACTCGCTGGTAAGGCGGACTACTTACACATCGCATGTTCAAGACAACCTCGTCAAGATGATTATTCGTCTAGAAAAAACTCTACACTTCGTTTTCATAAATGATTATGATATACTTACAGTATTTAACCAAGATGTTTTAATTATCATTTAGCAAACGATACAGGGACACAAACTGTGAATACAAGTGAGTTCATATTGGCCATCATATTTTAGGTGTACTGATTAATTGATTGATTATTAGTGTAATGAATTTTACATTTTTGTTTATTTGCATCGTTGATTTATAATCACGTTCCTCGTCCCATTGATTTAATACATGCCAATACATGCTCTCTCTCCGTCTCGTCAAAACTTTGTCTGTCTTCGGATTTTATGAGATTGGTTAAAGAGTTATTGAACATTGCCTATGATATTAATAATTTTAAAGTTGTTACTGGAATTCATAGGTATACAAGAATGAGAAATCGGTAATGCGCAAAGTCCAAGTTCAAATTACACCTTCTTAGACAAACTTCTCTATTTACGTCATGGATTACTACATTAACGGACTTTGACCCCCCATATTGACTAACGCATCGAGGTTCTCTTTTGATAGAACTAATTGCTATTACTTTGAATACGTTGGCTTTCAGATAATTTTGTGCATCTATGTTTCCGTGATTTGCTTTCGTGATTTGTATACATAAGAGTTTTCACTCTAATACTGGTAAACATTTCGAATTACATTTTTACAGATCCGTGAGCTATAAGTGCCACTGATCTGGCTCCATACATTTTCTTAAATCAAGTAAACTTAACCCGTGGTTTAGTGGATGGGAAAACTATATTTTTGCTATTCACATCACTTCTCAGAAAGTGAAATTTAGATGTGTGTCTTTTAACCTGCTGGTAATTTTCGCAGAATTGTAGTATGCCACTCTAATGAAGCTCATATATTTGATGTAGTTACACGCCTCGAAATAAATCGGTGAATGTTTCACTATTGAAATTATTTACAAAAAAGTCACATTTGATGATGCAGTTAGAAGGAACAATGTTTTATTTAAATTTATGACTTGAAACTTCTGTGCAATCGCTTATAAATAATATTTTGAAGATCAGTCGTCAAAACCAACTGTGACTAACAGTGAGTTACATACTTCTGCAAAGAAATACAATTCTGTTAAATTTTGAAAAATTTATAATAAATCATTCTGACTCGCCAGTCGGTGGCACAGTGGTTAGGACTCTCGCCGACCATGCACATGGTCCGGGGTTCGAGCCCACGCCGACGCACACTTGATATCTATGGTCGGCCTGCACAATTTGGCTACCGATATCCATGCTGAAAATTCCATACTTGTACCAAAAATACAGTGTGGAATCAAGCTGTAAATCAAAAAAAAATATAAATTATGCCAGGAAATCGGCAACATCGACGGTCTGGAAACTTATAATCTGTTCCATTTTGCTGAATCAGCTACCGACCATCAACCTATACGCAAGATGTACAGATACAAAGTAACGGATACGAATCTCATGTGACTTGTGATAACAATCAGTCGATTATTTCAACTCACTTATTTGAATTTTCATATGCCTTCGTGAATAGTTTATTATACAATCTCACTCCTGTATGTTTCTGGTTAATTAGTGTCTTTAGTTGTCAGCAGACTGGCATATGGTGTCAATCCATCTACCGAACATATTGCAACTGGTTGATTTCTCATGGTGCCATGGAAAGCAATTCATCAGAGTATCATAAAGAAAAGCTTAGCATGTGGAAATATGTGTTCTTATTATTAGTGAAATAGTTCTAAGCATGTTTTACACTGTGTGCTACTAAACGTATTATTTCAAACTTAAACTCTTCGTTCCTAACGAATTGGTTCTAATCATCTTTTAGCTACTAGTGCAGCAAAAGTGGTGAAGACACCTGGTGAGTTATCGGAGTGCATTCTTAAAAGACTAAGAATGTGAAAGTAGCACTGACTAAGCTGGTGAGGTTACTGCGGGAAAGAAATTACGCTGACGTTCACGATTATCGTATGGTGTTCAGGATGTAATCATTCGAAAAGGAATCAATTTACCGGAATTGCGTTGTTTCTATTTTTAATTTTTAACGTTTTGATTGTTATTTTCATGGTGTTATTTTAGTGATATACAACGATTAAGCATACATTCTTATCAGCGAAATATTAGGTACTTTAGAAAACCTTCAAATATTTCCATAAAAGACAAAATGTCGATTCAGTTGACTCATTTTTACGAAAAAACTAGTCTGACTTGCTCTTCGTCAAATGACTGTCACCATATTAAGGTCACAATGACCTAACATTCCCTATAATTTCAATAAATTTATAGTTGTTCTGGGAATAATGAAGGATGCTGGACAACGATAAGAAATCACTAATATACAATTGGTGGATGGTGGCTAGCAGTGGAATCCAGGATGCGCATTTCGTCCTATTTGGGACTCGTCAGCTGGATGTACCTGCATTTCTCAGTGAGTGATGATGTTCCCACCGAGGCTTGAACCCAGTACCCATAGTTTCAAACGCCAAAGCGTTATCCACTAGACCACTTGGGCCACGAGTGGGAACATCATCACTCACTGAGAAATGCAGGTATATCCAGCTGACGAGTCCCAAATAGGACGAAATGCGCATCCTGGATTCCACTGCTAGCCACCATCCACCAATTGTATACTAATTAAATACCCAGACATCGTCGAAGCATCTGCACAAGAAGCCGACATGTCAACCTGAGACCGAGCACTTCGGTCCAATCAATCGACGGGAAAATCAAAAATTCAATTCAAGAAATCACTAAATTTACGAGTCATTATACGAACTAAATATTCTAAATTGAATGTACCTACAAATTCGTTGGATTACTTTATTTTTGGTCGGACACTAGTAAGTAACTAGCTTAATGTGTGTCTAGTCCTTTGTTTGGTGCAGGCTGAATTATGTCAGTCAAGTTTGCATTGTGGCCACCATTCAAGGTGGCTCTTCATTATGGCACACGGATTATTGTTATTTAATGGTTGAAGGCAATGTGTCATGAGAAGCGTTCATCATAGCTTTCTCGCTACTTGACACTCTTTAATCAGCAACGCATATCTTTAATCTTGAAAGAACTCATATCCCTTCTGAGATTCGAGGCTGCGTCACTTAGTGCATCTGTGAGAGACGTTACCACTAAGCTGGTCATGCTCATTGTTGACCTCCTGTATTACTGTGTTGGAGATGAGTTTCTTCAAAGTTGCACATTCGCTCTGCTGACTGGCGAGTGTCACGTAGGATGAAACTTAAGTCCAAGGCTTCTTTTGGTCGATTGCATACACCCAGCTCATATCAACGGTTATTTTATTTGTTAATTTTCATGCATCCTTTTGACATGATGTTGCTGTTAGCATTTGTATGCCTCGCAATTTGGCTATTTCAAAAACATATAATGATCATCGTTTAGCGAAGGAAGCCACAAGCGAAAGGTGGAAGAGGTTATTGATGAGTCATTTATATGTATACTTGAATGATGAGACGATAAAACAGACAGTAATCTGTACGTGATTCTGTGCGAATGTGCTAATCATACAGTATTCAACATACAAGTATGTGAATCGAATCTGTTCATCAAATCAGTTAATGAGACGTCATAGTTGGATTTCAAGTACAATTTGTTCTTCCTTTTCGTAGAATGATGTTTGCAATACTGCCTGAGAACACCTATTCGTAGTTGATTCGTAGCTGAATTGATGAGTGCCTTGTTCAAAGTATTTTGTGGAAGTTGATGGCTTATCATGCAGATCGTCTCAAAATCACAATAGAAATATGCTCACAGGTTATGTTTAGCTTAGACGGTTCTATCGCAGGTGAGTGGATATGAACGCCTTCAGACATGAAAATACGAGTAGAACCTACTAGCATGCAGAAACCGAATTAAACATTACTCAGAGTCATCCAAATACTGATGAATTATCAATGAATTTCGTGATCATGTACAACTTTCGAATTTAATTCAAAGTTGATTCATTAATCACTCGGAAACAGCTCCACCAGGTAAGTGACTGCTATTCATAGAATGTCATAAATTTTCATTTGGTCTGTGTAAATATCACATGTTGTAACAATTAGGAACATTGAATTTGGAATGATTCATTTTAAGTTACTCGTTGACAGTGAGTCATGCCTGAATGAAATGCAACGTCAAGGCGCATTCATAATTTTAAAAGAAAGGATATAGCTGTCAAGAATGGATACAGGGTAAACCTGAAGACTTTCGTATTGACAAGCTTAATGATGATCGAATACATTCTTGAACCGTCCTTTGAATGAAGTGGCGTAATGTATAGATAATCAATAAAAACCTAGCCGGTAAAGGATGATTTCAATGATCACTATTCATATGATTTTCCCTGATGTATGGTCTATGAAAACTGAATGAATGATGTTCAGCTACCACTATAATAATGTCTGAATTGATTTTGTTTATGTACTAATATATCAATTGAATGACACTGTTACTTATATTGTATAACTGCTAATTAATACTTCAATGTATATTTCAGTAAGGGGACCTGAACTGAATTTGAGGCCAGGTAAAGTTTGTGATTTGTGACATTCACACAATAAAATTATGAATGAATCATGGAAGCTCTTTCAGATAGCTGTGTGTTCACTTAGCTGACAGAAGCGTGAAGATGTAACCCCTATCAACATCTAAGTGACTTCCGATTCCGTGTTCACATCTGTTAAGAAACATAGTCTCTTTTAATTCACTCCTTGTCATCAACAACTGTAAATTATCAATACAATAGAATATCATATTCCTCGAGGAAGCAAACTTTCGAGTGTAGCCATTGGATAATGGAAGCCAAAGTGGAGTGCAGAACGCCTTTTGATCCAGTCTCTCATGTAATCAAATGATTACATCTCCTTGAGTCGATTACTTGAAGACGTGTATTGTATTTAGTAATAAACGGGGTGAGATTTGACGTTATTCTATGTCTGAGAAAATAAGTATTGTTCACTTTTGATGACGACAATTAGGTGTTGCCTTGAAAACGTTTTACACCAGCTAATGCCTTCAAAAAGTCACATTTTGGTATCTATTCAGAGAGCTTTATAATAATTCACGTCTTGTACTGATTAAATAACATTTCCTTACTTCAAAAATATCCTACTAAATGGTTAAACTTGTGATATAATCAGGACAAGTTTAAGCTTGTTGCCTGTTTGATAAATCAACAATTGCAGGCAATATAGCAACACAAAAAGCTGTTCAATCTCCTTTAGTTTCGATCAGAAAGCAGTGATCTTAAAAATGGACATTGTCAAGGAAACACGTTCCTCTACCTATATCATCGGTCTGAAGTCAGTGTCCAGTTTAAAGTCTGTTATATGGTACACGTAGAACTCACAAGTGATTTTCAGTCGAAGAAGTTAATTAGATTTCCACCAAATGTTCCTTATAATTTGACATAGTTCATTGTTTGTTGCTTTCTGATTATTTTCAACTGGATATTTTAGATCCATTACGTGAGTTTTAATTTGCGCTTTCCTTCACTGGTACTTCCATCGGTGGATTATTCAATATAATCTATTTTCGCTTACATATTTGTTGAATAATCGACTCCTAGTTGGTTTACTTCAGCCAGGCTTTCTTATGGCTTATTCTATCTCGTCGGTTGGCCATCTGTTTTTCAGTACGGAGGCAGCGCTACCTGTTGATAGTCTTCTTCGTGAAACAAAGTTCAAGTTTTTGACCCGTATAGAAGGACCAACTTCACATTTGCGTTCAAAATCCAAATCTTAATCTTTGTGCTGACTGAGTGCAGAACATTTCCAAAGAGGTTTCAGGTTGATGAAGGCTTATCTCGCCTTTCTGATTCCGACTGGTCAGATATGATATCTTCATCCCTTCTGACTGCCTGTAGTTGAAACGATGCTTCCTAGAAAAGTGAAGGTATTAACCTCCGTCAAATCTCTCCCGTTGATGATGATGATTAATGCTGCTTGTTGTTGCTGCTGATTGGTTGTCTTCATCACCTCCGTCTTCAATATATTCAAGTGGAATCTTGTCTTAGGTATATGTCATCTGCGAAATTCAGATCTTCTAGAGTCTTCTCATCGATGGTCTAGCGTTTTCTTGTCTCCTCGCTCCTCACAGTTTGACGCATAATCTAGTTGACTAAAAACTAAGAATATCATTGTGAGTGATAATAGGCAGCCAGTCAGCCTTGTCTTACTCCTGTATGCACTTCGAACGCCTCTCTGAGTTTTCTGTTGTGGATTATTTGACACGTGGTAATTTCAAATAGCCAGCTGTTGATTGAGGTTGATGAAGACTTAACACATATCATAGTGTTGCAGCAGTTTCCGAATTACATCTCGATCAATGCTGTCGAAGGCTTTTCCGTATTCCATGATGTCGAGGTAGGGGCTTGACTGCCATTCTGTGCTTTGCTGTATGATGACGATGCAATCTGATCAGCGCATTATGTGACGTTCCTCAATTCAACTTGTTCTAGCCCATGGGGTGGAGTTCTTTAACCAGTGTGTCCTATATTCTCTTCAGGATCATGCGACTGCCGCAGTCTCGGGGTCCGTTTTCAGTACTTAGGGGGTAATTCCATCTGGACTTGTGCCTATCCGGACTTCAGTGACTTGATTGGATTTAATATTTCTACTTTCGTTGGAGGATTAGAGTGCTCTGGAAGTTCTGTGACTGCTGTTGGTGGTATTTCAAGTCGAGTTTCAGTTGACATTCGATTCAAGATTCCTTCAAGGTGGAATGAAACTACAAATGGTTTGCCGATAAACGCACTATCTATTGGTATCTTTCTGATGTCCAGTATACTCCAAGTGTCAAGCATTTTCTTACCTGATACACATAGCATAGCTTCCATTACCCAGTACTGAAATATTTTTTCATTATTGGTGTTTATCATCTTTTTTACTTGGTATTTTTATTTGCATTTTTTTCTTTTCTTTTGTTTTTTTGTTATTTCTGTGTTTCTTTTTTGGTTTTTTTGTTGTGTTTTATATTTATTTTTTTGTAATACTCCTTTTTAATGTACGATGAAATTAGATGCAGTATTGTAGATATGTGCTGAAAATTCCACACTGTACCACAAGTACTGTTTCTGGAATAAAGCGAAATTGTTATGTTATGTTAAAAGTTTGCATTATTGTATTTAGTCAGCTCAATAATTTCAAATGTCACAGTTTCTATATTCGGTTTGTATAAATGAAACACGATCACATTTGTGGAATAATATGACTCTATTGAACTTGGCAGATAATCTCTAGCGAAACATGCTTTGAACTAATCTGACGATAAACTCACTACTTTGGGCTCTAAATGCTGTAGTGTTGGAGTGGCTGCCAAATTACTTCACAGTCAACGTTCCCTGTTGAAGGCCTACTCGAATTCGATGGAATTTAGATTGAGGTTTGATCAGCATATGATTTGGATTTTCTCAATCCAGCTTGTTCTAGTCTGTGGGGCGGAGTTCCGTCTCCAGTACATCCTTTATTCTCTCCCGGATGACGCGACTCAGTATTTTACTTGGCGTGGACAAGAGAATTAATCCGCGCCAATTCTTGCAGAGTGAGGTATAAGTCACCCTTCTTTGGCAGCCTTACTTGCAGTCAGTAAGTAAATATCCTTTGGTTCGAACCTTTAGCAGTAATGTTGTGATAACATCTGCAACAATATTTGGATCCGTTTTAAGCGTTTGGGGCGGGGGAATTCTGTTCGTTACTGCTGTACTCCCAGCTATACTTCGGTAGCTTGATCGTTATCAAGATTTTCGTTTTTGTTGAAGGATTAGTGTTGACTGGCAGGCAGTTTTGTGAGTGTTGGTGATATTTCCAGAAGAGTTGTAGGTGACAGTCAAATCAAGATTCCTTTAAGATTGAATGAAAGTACAAATTGTTTGAACTGATCTGACGACAAACGCACTACCTATCAGTATCTTTCTGATGTTAGGTACACCCTGAATATCAAGCTTTTTCTGACATGATACATCTTAGTTTACATTGTTGTACATACTCGACTCAATACTTTCAAATATCTTAGTTTCTATATTCGGTTTGTATAAATGAGACGCGATCATATTCATGGAATAAAATGATCCTGTTTAACTTAACAGATACTCTGAAACAAAGGATGCTTCAAATAAAAGTGTATATCAATAAAGACGTTTAGCAGTTTTGAGAGTTCAGAATACTCAACATCAGAATCTAACGAAAATCATGACAGGCAGCTACTATTTCAAAAAGCATAAAACTATTCTGAATGACATTTTTAGTGTGGGCATAGATTGATTAACCTCAGATCGCTACGAATTTCAGGGAATATAAGGGGTCATTGATTGATTCAGCCTAAGATTCAGCCTGATTTCAGGATAACTTTGGATGTTACTCTGATTACTTAATTAAAAAGCCATTCGTGACGCAACATCGTGTTCCCATTTTTTTTATTAGCGTAATTCTAATTGTATGTAGACTATATATTAGTACTGGTTGTCACACCACTAGGTTCTGAGCACTTGTGTGAGGTGATAAATGTTTTATCTCATTTAAGTTGAATGGGGTAAGTTGCATTTTCATTTAAATACTATGTAAATACAAGTACTTGACAAGAAGGAGTGTTAAAATTTGTTATTCGGTGAATATATATGAATATAATTGATTGTCCGCCATCGTGAGAATAGCAGGGAGTTTCATTGCAGTTGAATAACGCGAATTCGCATGATCATGTCAGTTGCCTTCAATTGAGTCGAACACCGTTTCATTAGAGTCGTACTGAATTCAAAATTTTCATGAAATGACATTGAATTAACATGTCATTATAATATTTTGCGAAGACACTAAATTTGTTAAGAATAACAGTCTGAACAATGTGTGAAGCAGTTACTTAGGCAAATAGGTGACTCCTTCATTGCCATGAATTATGGTATCAAAGCAAGTGATGTCTTCTCCAGCTGAATCCTTTTGAGTATATTGTCCAAACCTGAGAATATTGATCACAATAGACTCAGTGAACAAAAGAAGGTCAAGAAAATCAGATAAGGAATTCATATATTTCCAGTCTACTGAAGCATGACCAACGTCCTTCTCACTGTCAATAGGTTCTATGAATCTATTTTAGCATGTCTCACAGAATGTTTACAGTCGGATACTATTTAAGTGATGAATTTTATTATGTGTTTGTTTTCTGAGTATCGCTAACATTTTGAATTGAGGATGTCAGTGGGCCATTGAACATCGTAGCTATACTGTCAAATAATGTCTCATCTTTCTGATATGTGCAATGTCTGCATATATATACAAATGTTTCATAAAATTTCTAATGCTTTTAGAAAAAGAGTAAGTATTGTACTGAGAATATTTCACCAATATTTACAAGCCATCATTTCTTATCTGTTTCATGACCTGAAGTATGAATTGACAGGCAAAAAGGCATGGAGGTTATAATGCAAACGTTTTTTGTCTTCCATTTTTTCAACACAGAGAATTGAAATGATCATATTCTACAAGCATATGTTGCCCACACTGACTATTCCGAGTTCCAGGTAACGAAACACCGCTTACATGATTTCATCATGAGCCGACATCGGTTGGAGAAAAATCGAAAAACCTAGGAGCACTGGATAGCCAGGTGTTTCTTCGTAGTTTCGGAATCTTTAGGAGTACTCAACGACTGGCTTTCGAACTCAGGACCTTTTGGTTACAAGTTCAGCAACATCGTAGACCATTATGCTACTGCGACTCGATCAAATGGTCTCTCCATGAGTTCTAACTTTTGATAATTCACGACACAGTGCAAACACTAGCCAACGCCTTCGGCGAGTATTAGTCCTCACACTCCTCCTGCTTGCCCATTGTGTCAGGTCTCAGTGGCCTAATGGTCTACGAGCTTGTAACCTTGTAAGCAGAAGCTCCTAGGTTCGACTCCTGCCGTTGCGTGAGTCTTAAACAAGGACGAAAAAGCTTATTTGTTAGTCACAGACGTTGAGATCTAAGGCGAATGTGCTTCTTGTGACTCATCAGTGAAATGTTTATGTATCTTAATAAGTGTTGACCATCCCACGCAGATTATTGTCCAACCTGTTAACCAGTTAGTGTAGCGAACATCTTGAGGTTACATTCTCTACTACCAGTTGAAATTATTATTCCTTCATTGAAGATATGGAAGGTGAGTGTTAAAATGAAGTTGAATGTTTTATAAAAACACTTGTGATGTACTACAATATCCGTATTGTAATATCAATTCAGTGAAGTATTGTTTTATTTATTTTTTCCCTTACGTTCTGAGTTGAACATGGGGCTTCAGACTAGAGCTTTGCAGTTTCTGTAGAAGTGACTTTTATTTTACCAGTGAAGGGTTGCTCCTACCTCCATCAGCCTTTCTTCTTAACCTGCCTTCCTATCGGTTTAGCGAGGTTTAGCAGTGCATCGGCAGAAAATCGATCCCCGAACCACATGGGAATTTGGGAAGTGACTTGCCGCCGAATCACTGACGCATCATCGTTTTATTTAC